CTTGTTGGAGGAAGTATGCTACCAGGGATTTGCTCCAAAAGCCCAGGCCCAGCCCAGTGGCTCTCTGTTCCTACTGCCTGTGGATGTGAGTGCAGAATTCAGCTACTGTTGCCTGAATGCTGCCATACTTCCTGTCCTGATGATAACAAACTGAACCTCTGAAACTGTAAGAAAGGCCCAATTAAATGCTTTCTTTTTTAAGAATTGTCATGGTCAAAGAGGCTGAGAAAGAAATCAGAGAAACATAACCCTTTACAATAGCCACAAACAACATAAAGTTACCCCAAGATAACGCTTACCAAACAAGTGAAAGACCTATATAATAAGAACTTTGTGTCTTTAAAGAAAAAAATTAAAGAAGATACCAGAAAATGGACAGATCTCCCATGCTCTTGGATAGGTAGGATAAACATAGTAAAAATGGCAATCTTGCCAAAAGCAATCCACAGATTCAATGCAATCCCCATTAAAATCCCACCACAATTCTTCACTGAACTTGAAAGGATAATAATCAACTTTATATGGAAAAACAAACAACCCAAGATAGCCAAAACAACCCTGTATAATAAAAGAACTTCAGGAGGCATCACCATTCCTGACTTTAAGCTCTATTACAGAGCTATAATTCTGAAAACAGCCTGGTATTGGCACAAAAATACACAAGTAGACCAATGGAATCGAATTGAAAATCCTAATATTAACCCACACACCTATGAACACCTGATTTTCAACAAAACAAAACAGCTAAAATTATACAATGGGGCGATGACAGCATCTTCAACAAATGGTGCTGGCACAATTGGATGAGGGTGTGTAGAAGACTGCAGATAGACCCATGTCTATCACCACGCACAAAACTCAAATCCAAATGGATCAAAGACCTCAACATCAATCCAGCCACATTGAACCTCTTAGAAGAGAAAGTAGGAGGTAACCTTGAACAAATTGGTATAGGAGACCGCTTCCTGAACATAACTCCAGGGGCACAGACACTGAGAGCAACAATTAATAAATGGGACCTTTTCAAACTTAGAAGCTTCTGTAAGGCAAAGGACACAGTGGACAAGACCAAACGGCAGCCCACAGACTGGGAAAAGATTTTCACTAATCCTATATCCGACAAAGGGCTGATCTCCAAAATATACAAAGAACTCAAGAAACTAGTCAACAAAACACCAAACAACCCTATTAAAAAATGGGGTACAGAACTGAAGAAAGAATTCTCAATAGAGGAACTCAAAAAGGCTGAAAGACACTTTAGAAAGTGCTCCATATCCTTAGCTATCAGGGAAATGCAAATTAAAACAACTTTCAGATACCATCTTACTCCTGCTGGAATGGCTAAAATTAGAAACACCAATGACAACTCATGCTGGAGAGGATGTGGAGAAAGGGGAACACTCCTCCACTGCTGGTGGGAGTGCAAACTCATACAGCCATTTTGGAGATCAGTATGGCCGTTCCTCAGGAAAATGGGAATTAGTTTACCACAGGACCCAACAATCCCCCTCTTAGGCATATACCCAAAGGATTCACATCCATGCAACAAAGACATCTGCTCAACTATGTTCATAGCAGCACTATTTGTAATAGCAAGAACCTGGAAGCAACCTAGATGCCCCTCAATTGAAGAGTGGTTAATGAAGATGTGGCACATCTACACAATGGAATACTACTCTGCAGAAAAAAATAATGGTATCTTGAAATTCTCAGGCAAGTGGATGGCACTTGAAGAAACCATCCTGAATGAGGTAACCCAGTCACAAAAAGAGGAACACAGTATGTACTCACTCATATATGGATTTTAGACCTAGATCAAAGGATCACCAGCCTATAATTCACACCACCAGAGGAACTAGGAAACAAGGTGTATTCTAAGAGATTCATATAAAGTCCCTCACAGAAGGGGGAAGGGACAAGTCCCCCAGAGCACAGGGGAAGTGGGGGGGGCAGTGAATGAAGAGAGAAGTAGGAGAAAACGAGGGGAAGGAAAGGAAAACATGTGTGACCAGGAAGATTGAGTCCAGGAGAGAGAGAAAGAGAGAGAGAGAGAGAGAGAGAGAGAGAGAGAGAGAACATAAAAGAGGGAGCCAATATTGTTTGAAGAGAAAACTGAACCTAAAGAAAGGTCTAGAGACTTACAAGACTGCTGCCAACTAACAATTTGAGCTTCCGTGGAAAGGCTACCATAAATGCCTTTACTGGATAGTGAGATCAACAACTAACTTATCCATGGAGCCCTCATCTAGTACCTGTTGGAAACAGAAGTAAACACCCATACCTAAACACTGAGTCAATCTAGAACCCAGATGCAGAGGGAGAGGACAAGACCAGGCTGCAGAAAAACACAGAGACAGCTGACCTGAACAAGGAAGAGCTAACAGGCCCCCAGACTGATAGCTGGAAATCCAGCATGAGACAGACTCGGGCCCCCCGGGCCCCCCTGAATATGAGTCTCAGCCAGAAGGACTGAGCAGTCTAAGAGGCCTCAGACAGTGGAGACAGGATGTATCCCTGGTGCACAAAAGGACCTTGCGAACACATTCCCCATGGAGGGATAACTGCCTTAACCTAGAGACAGGAGAGAAGCCCTAGTCCCTACTTCACATGACCTGTCAGATCTACATGACCCCAACTGGATAGCATTCCCCTACATATGGAATTGTGGTGGGGGGATGGGAGGGGAGGGTGGTTAGAGTGCATGTGAGAGGGCAGAGAGGGTAAAAGGGAAGGAAGGAGGGAGGGAGAGAGAGGGGAGGAGGGAGAGAGGGAGGGATGGAGGGATGGAGGGAAGGAGGGAGGGAGGGAGAGGGAACTGGGATCGACATGTAAAATAATAAATTAAATAAAAAAAAAAGAAAAAAAGAATTGTCATGGTCATGGTGTCTTATCACATTAACAGAACTGTGACTAACCAATACATACATACATACATACATACATACATACATACATACATACATAGGGGAAGAAAGAAAAGAAACCTGAGTTCCTCCCCTAAATCAATAGCAGCTATAGAAAACACGGGAAGGAAGGAAATACACAGATGATAAATCTTAACCAAGAAAACGGGAGAAGCCTGACCCCATAAGTGCCTGCCTGCCTGCCTGACAAAGACATCCTGGGGAAAAGCCGGAGAAGGAACAAATAACTTTACCTTTATTCCAGAGGTAAAAGCGAGGCGCCAGAGTGCAGGGTCAGAAGATGGCAGAGAAACAAGGCTTCCTTCTGAGAGACCCCCAGGCTCAGCCCACTGAAGGGAGAAAACCCCTGCAGACCATCAGCTTACAAAGTAAAACCCAGCCAGCGTGCCAAGATCCACCTGCATACTGCCCAACCCCCACACCAACAGAATGTGGTCTCTAACTCAGTACATTCCTGTCAGAAAAGTCCTGCCTGGGGGCTTCCTCGGTTTGTCAGTGGATGCCATCAGCCCATGCAGCAAGGGACAGAAGGTTCAGAAGTACTAGGCACAGAAGTGTATTTATTACAGGTCTCCGAACCTGAAGGAGGAAAAGGAAGTCTAACCCTAGAACAGCAATGACTAAGCACAGTGACCCCAGTAACCAGCAATGCACACCCAAATTAAGGGTGTGAACAAGGTCCACATAGACGCAGGGACCCCAAGGGTATCCCGTGTATGCAGCAGCCGCTATGAAGGCATGTGCCTGTAATTCCAGCACTTGGGAGGGAGGAGAAAGGTCGGGAGTTCAAGGTCATCCTCCAATATACAGTGAATTTGAAACCAGCTTGGGCTACAAAACAAAAATAGCCCAACAACAAAAGTGTGTACAATAGGGAAAAAAAAAAACAGATAAAGATTAATTCAAAGACAGATTATGTGGTTGAGACAAACATAGGAGGAATTTCTACTCTTGAGTTATACAGAGAACAGCTTTGATTTCATGCATCTGAGAGGCACCTACTCCCAGCGGTGTAAAGAGCAAAGGCAGTAGAGCCACGTGGAAAGGGGCCGCTGCACAGGGACCTGACACCCCACCCCATGCCTTCTTTAAGAGAAAAATGGCATGGCAGCTCCTGCACCAGTCTGGGAGCGCCACTGCTAGCTCCTACCGTGGCCCCTGAGAGGCAATGCGACCACCAGCACCCTCCTCTCCGCCTTCCAGTGGAAGTGCCGCCCACATGCAACACAATTCCCATCGCAGGGTCGAGTGGGAACAGAGAACGTCCTAATTCCACAGATACAGAGGCAATCTGTCACTCACTGGAGGGGGAAGGGAACACAAGGTTTTTCCACTGTTATCCGTAGCTGCCTTGAGGGAACATTAGAGAGGAGTTCGGAGAAATATTTGTGTTATGTGGGGATCAGCAGGAACACAGGGTGTGGGGGCAGGGGCGGGGATGAGTCAGGACGGGCCCAGAGGATTCTGCCCAAGATATTTTAGCCCTGGGGTGCAAGCCCCCATCTGGCTTGTTAAAATAGTGCTGGGTAGTGAGAGACGCTGGTACAGCCTCACATCCATGAGATGGGCCTGGAGGTTTGAGCGACAGTTGAGAGACAGCTGCTGTAGAGATGTGACGGGAAAGAGGGAGTCATCTCATGAAACCCTGAACTCTAAATGTCGAGGGAGAACGTGTTTGAACAGGCTGTGGAACCGTGGAGGACTGTGTTAGATGCCTCTCCGCGGCCGCTTGGGTCCCTGGAAGGCAACAGTGGTTTGAAGAGCTCCATCAGGAATCTCCCTGCTCATCCAGGACAGCCAAGGCTATACAGAGAATCCCTGTCTCTTCTCAGGAAGGAAGGAAGGAAGGAAGGAAGGAAGGTGGGTGGGTCTTTTATGGGGGATTTTCTTCCCCTTTCCATGGCTGCTTTCCTTCTAAGCAATGCCGTCTATGTCTGTGTTCTTCACCAGGACAGCGGTTGAGATGACATGCTGGAAGCTCATGGCCCCACAGGACAGTACGCTGACTCCTGGATAAACAACAGGAAGAACCCAGTTTCTCTTGGTCTGTCTCTCTCTCGCACACACTCAACTTACCAAATGCCTTCTTTGGTTCTATTAGCTGCAAAGTAAAGACTTCCTCCTTTTTCATCTCCTTCAGCTTCTTCGCGACTTCATAGTGACGCCACCCAACAATATTTTCTCCATTTATGCATTCAATATGGTCCCCCACACAGATGGTTTTCACTGCGTCAATGGTGCTGCCCTCTTTAATTCTCTGAAAGAAAGAGAACCAGCGTTGCGATCAGTAGAACTGTGTGGCATTTCTTCTCGCACTCGTGAGACACTTCGTGCTGACACATTTACAATATGGCCCAACGCTCGCTTACACACAGAAAACAAGCAAGAAAGAATGCACATTCCTTCTCCACCCATTCTTCATCTTCCTCCCATTCAGAATCCAGCTAGCTCACAGCACCATCTCCTTTAGAAATCTTTTCCTGACATCCTCCAACCCAGGCCCCTAAGAAGGGGTGAGGCAAGAGCCTCTTCCCACACACATACACACAGGCTGGAAGAAAGCATCAGACTCCCTGCAGATGCAGCTACAGGCAGGCAACTGTGGTGCCCGCAACCAAGGACATCCTCTGGAAGAACAGCAAGTGTTCTTGGCCGCTGACACATTCCTTCTGCTACATGGATATAAGTTGTTTTCTTTATTTCCTTAATAATTTCAGCAAGAGACCCATAGAGCTTAAGCTGTCTAGCAGCTTTGTGTTTAAATCTGTTGCAATCTTTTTTCATTTTTATTACATTTATTTGTGTGTGCGCGCGTGCACTCGCCATGGCAAGCATATGGAAGTCAGAGGACAACTTCCAGGAGTCGGGGTCCCGAGGGCTAACCTCAGCTCATTCAGGCATGGCGGCAAACACTGTTCTTTACCTGCTGAGTCATCTCATCAGCCCTATTGCCGTTTTGATTTTGGTTTTTAAAGACATGATCTCTCTATGCTGGCCTCGAACTTATAATCCTCCCGTCTCTGGCTCATAATGGGATTTCAGATCTCTTCCACCACACCTACCCCATTAAATTTTACTTCTCTACAGTGCAACTGTCATGCAGAGTTTCACGGTGAGGTGTAAAATCCATTAGATGGCACCAAGCATTCCAAAGGGACTTTAGGGAAAGAAACTCCTGAAAACCAGCTCGGAGCCCTGCAAACTCTTCCCAGCAACGAGGAGGGGAACAAAACAAAGCTCAAAAGTCCTTCGTGTCCTCACAGGCCAGGCGGGCCAGGAGCTTGGCTGCTTTGTTCCAAAGGTGTATGCACCCTACCCTTACCAGGTAGAGGTGCGTCACCCTGTCTGTCTGATCATCAGGTGGCAGACTTGAGCAAAACCAGAAGCAGCCAACATCTCCACAAGGCTGCCATCAGGAAAACGTTTAAAAAGATGGTGCTTAGGAAGATAAGCATATTTTAACTGTATTATTGTACACCAGGTGAACGATAGCTTTCGTTTTACTTCTAGATTCTAAAAACAGTACTACAATTTTTTTTTTGTGCTAGTACTTATCGACCCCCTACATAGAAACGGCAAGCTAATCCCCATTTAAATAGCTCTCATCTATTACTACAGACAAAAAGTAGTGAAAGCGGAAGCTTCCAAATCTGACTGGAATTCATCATCTCGTGCATATCTAACAGAAGCAAGCATGGTCACCGCAACACACAGCTTAAACGTTGCCGGTTCTGCCCGGCAGTGGTGCACACACTTTTAACCCCAGCACTCAGGAGGCAGAGGCAGGTGGATCGCAGAGTTCGAGGCCAGCCTGGTCTACACAGCACATTCCAGGACAGCCAGGGCTACACAGAGAAACTCTTGAAACCATCCCCCACCCCCAAATAATCTACAGTTTCTAAACTGTTTCAGAAAAAAAAAAATTAAACTAAAGATTTTCCTTCTAACGGGAAAAAGAAACTATTAAATACACTGGTAAATAACTGCTCTTAAAGTCACCATGAGATTTGAAATCTGCATTTAACTTTGAATTTTTTTTTATTCTAATTGATGTCTTCCTTGATATACCTGGAGCCTATTTTCTCCTCTCTTTGATCAATTATATCAAACAAATTTCAGAAACTTCATACATATCTTTAGTTTTTTCAGCACATGTAATTGTATTTAAAATAATGGAATACATACACTTAATCAGATAAAAGAGGTGAAGCATGACCCTTACCTGTGAGTGGTCAGGGTGCTAGAGAGACACTGTCCCCTCACCCAGTCTGTAAGAAGCTAGAAAGGTCGCCAGAGAGCACCCAGGCACAGGAGGAAAGCAGGGAGAGGCCCAGGCGGCAGCCAAGGAGTCCACGCTGCTGTGAGAACAGAGTGAATCGGGGATCAGGAAGAGAAAATGACAGTGACCCCGAGAAGAGACGCAGTAGGACGAGGGTTGTTTCGTGTGTGATCTGAGCCGACCTCTAAGCGAACAGAGCAAACACTGGGGTGCTGGATGTGCCAGTTAGGGCTCTTCTGCGATAAAACACCAGGGTCAAAACACCAGGAATGACAGCGCACGTCTCTAATCTCATTACTCTGCAGGCAGAAGCAGGAGCATTTCTGCGTGGGCTACCTGGGCTACATAAAGAATCCCAAGATAGCCAAGGCCGCGTCTCTCAAAATCAAATCAAAACAGAAACAATGAGCAAGAAAGAGTGTATTCAGTTTACATTCCCTGGGCCACTGCCCATCGAGGGAAGCCAAGGCAGGAAGTATGTCAGCAGCCAGGAGCCAAGAGCTGATACAGAGGCCGTGGAGGATGCCGCTTACTGGATGGGTCCTCATGGCTTGCTCCGCCTGCTCTTTTACACAGCCCAGGACCACCTGCTCGGGGATGGCAGTGTACAGTCAGCTAGGCTCTCCTTCATCAATCATGAATCAAGAATATGCCCCAAAGATCTGACGAAAAGCAATCTCATAGAGGCATCTTCTCAGTGTGTCAAGCTGAAAAACGAGCAAACAAAACACCAAGCAGAATCTTGGGGCTGGGAAAGACAGCTCAGACTGTGAAGTGTTTGTTAGTTGTACAAGCATGGAGACCTGTGGGTATCTAACCCCAGCTCTGTAAAGGCTGGGGTAAGATGATGCCTGGGGCTTCCTGGCTAGCTAGTCCAACTGATCGATGAGCCCAGACCCCAGGGAGAGACCCTATCTTAGGAAGGTGGTCCATAGCTCCTGAGGTACACCACATATAGCTGTGGACATGTGAACAATTTGTTTTAGTTTAAATGAAGTGCCAAAGGATATAAACTTCTGAAATGCAATGTGTTTTAATAATCATACAGTAACTGAACAGAGATTAACATTTCTCAGCTTATTATCTAGTCCTTAGGATCAAGAAGTATGAAAGAGAAACATTATTTGCTCATGCTTCTTGAGCCATTTGTATTGTTCAATATTTGCTTAAGAATCTAAAGAATTTCTTCTCTCATCTAGTTTTGGAGACTAATGCTGCAAACGGCAAAGAAGACCTATCTATCTAATCTGGGCCCAGGCTGGCGGGGAGCAAGCCACAGTAGCAAGCCACAGTGATCCTCCTGACTCCTGACTCTAAACGTATCTCCTCACTCTCATTTGTGATTTATGAAAGAAAATACAGTACACAAATAATGAGATGACAAACCCTGTATCTCTTCCAAAGTGGTCACCTAAGGAGCTGTCATCACTTGATAATTTCCCCGCTCCAAAGGGCATGGCCTGTCTCTCAGCATAAAGAAGCATTAGAAAATAGCAGGGCAGAGGCCTCAGTTCAATTCCCGGCACCCACATGGCATTTACAAGCATGTGTAACTCCAGTTACAGGTGATCTGACACCTCCCCCTCCCCCCACCTCTGAGAACACCACACACTCACCTGGTGCACAAAGGTATCTACAGAAAAAATACCCAAACATATAAATTTTATTTATTTATTTATTTATTTATTATGTACACAATGTTCTTCCGGCATGTATGCCTGCAGGCCAGAAGAGGCCACCAGATCTCATTATAGATGGTTGTGAGCCACCATGTGGTTGCTGGGAATTAAACTCAGGACCTCTGGCGTCCTGTTAAAACCAGTGCTTTTAACCCCTGAGCTATCTCTCCAGCCCCCATAATTTTTTTTTTTTTTTAACCAAGGAAAACAATAGATTAAAGCGAAGCCTACCAGAAACTAAGGAATTATTCCAGAAGCACATATTAACTAATGGAAAGCTTGCACAGGGACTTACCAGAGGGAGGGGATGTGTAGAAGGTAACCAAAACTGAAGTGGGCTAGAGACGAGTTTTTCTTGCTTTTGTTTGTTTGTTTGTTTTGTGGTGAGACAAGAGTTGGTTTTAAACTCTCTACATAGCTAAAGGTGACCCTGAACTGCTAATCACTGTTTTTACCCACTGAGGGTTGGTATTATAAGCATGCGCCTCTGTGCCCAGTTTTAGGGTGTGCTGGGGACAGGCTCTACCCATTGAACTACATCCCCAGCCCTGGGGAGTCAAATCAGTTTCACAATTGTACTAAGGTTAGGTGTAGCATAAATGTCTTTGTTCTTAGTAATTACACTCTGTAATTAGGCATAAAAAAGGATGACTATAGATAAAAACACAGTTATAAATGCATACAAAAACACAGCACATTAGCAAATACTAAAAACTAGACATTTGTGTAGATGACAGATAAAGCTACTTTTATAATTATATTTTCAATTTTTACAATTTATAAAATTTTTATCATCTTTATTTTAAAGTACACAATACGCTGGCTTTCTCCTTTCTTATCTTGCCCTCTGTCCCCAAAGGACTAGTGACTAGTACTCTGAGGCAGGCGCATGCTTGACAAGACATTTAAAAAAAAAAAAATAGAAACAGCAGCTTTGAATGTCAGAGGCTAACATCTAAGGCATCCACACACGTTTGCGAAACTCCCTAGCCCTGCCCTGCAGACAGCAGGCAGGCTCTGCTGCCGGTGCCCGGTGTCCTAAACTTGCCCTGGACTATCCCTCAAGCCTTCCCCAACGCAAGGGTTTTCCATTCGCTCAGCCTCCAGTGCATTCCTAGCTTCCGCAGACGCAAAAATAGCCATTTATCAAGCGGGCAGTCAGAGCAGCGTCCACAGCTAACGTGGCATCCCTGCAACTATTTCTTTAACGGTGACTGCGCATCAGCAAAGAAAGGCATAAACGAGTCTGTGTTGCACAAGTCTTAGCTGTCACTAAGACTTAGCTCGGTGCATAGAAATGCTAGCTCTAGAGTCAGACCTCTTGTGTTCAAATCCTGAACCCAGCTACTCATATAATTTTGGCCAAGCTCTTTAACCGTCCAGACCCTATCTTTGCGCTGTGAAATGGAGACTGGTCACATCGCCTATCACAGACAGGTCGCAAAGACACCACACACATTGCCAAAGACAAAGATGGCAGAGTAAATAATGCATGATTCTATAAATGTCAAGAAGCAAATGGCAGCAGATGTCACTTTTCAGGACAGGTATCAACTGGAAGGGCAAAAAGAGCCTTCAGGGTGGCAGAGATGCAGAGCCTGTGGATACCAGCGTCCGTAAGTGAACGTTCGTTCGTTAAGCTGTAGAACGTCTTAAGAAATGCACTAGACTGCAACATAAAAGCAAATTTAAAACGACGTAGGGCTAATAAAATAAGATTGATGTGAAAATGGGAGATAGATCCGTTGGAAAAGGTGCTTGCTGTGAGAGCTTAGATCTCGGCACCCACACAAAGAGCCAAGCACGCATCTGTAATTTCAGCAATGGAGAGGCAGAGACAGACAGACCTAAAGCACTTGACAGCCAGCCTAGCCTGATCAGCGAGCTGTAGCTCAGCGGAAGGAAGGCCTTCTCTCAAAAAATGAGGTAAGTGACTGAGGAAAACCAAGCTCTGGCCTCCACACACATGAACACATATACAGGCACCTACACACCCATGTGAACATCGACACGAACACAATTAAACGCATAAAATTAAATCAAGACAGGGTCATTGTGAAGGTTAAACAAAACAACATGCGAAGTGACTAGTGTTGGATGAGCATTCCATACAAGTTGACTGCTATAACGGGCAGCCAACTCTGAGGCAGGAGGATCACTTGAGCCCAGTTCATGAATGCCCTGGGCTACCTGGCAAGACACTGTCTCAAGAGAACATTCAAGAATTGTCTGTACTGGACATGCAGAAATAGTTCCTTGGTCTCCAAGCAATATGACACAATAACCATTTATATAGATGTCATAAGTTATCTAGAGATGCTTTAAGCTATGCAAGAGGGTACATGTAAGTTATATAGAAATGCTAGCCTTTTGTATCAAACAATTGAGCAGGCACAGATTTTAGCATGCACAGGGGTTCCTGAACCAACCCACACCCCTCTCCCCACACCCCCTCCCCCATACTCCCTAGCCCCCTCCCCCTCCCACACACACACAGGTAAGGAGAGAGAGCTACACTCATTACAGCAGAATTTTTACTTCTTAGCTGTCCTCATTTTCATACTATTTTAAACGTGCTTACAACTCTGCATTACTCTTTTTGTATTTATACAAAAGAATTCCACTGTTCAGATCATTCTGAAGAGCTTTTTGAAAGAAACCTGTGCCGTTAGAAGTAACATTAATCACTGGAAATCTTCCCGTACGTCCTTGGAGATACACAAGCAAGGCGACTTCTGCGAGAAAAGGGAAGGAACAAGGGTCAGGCCTTCATTCCCAAGAAGTTCTAAAGTATAGAGGATGTTTAAAGCAAAGGGAAGAATCTCAAAAGGAGTGCAAAGGAATTGCTATCTCCAAATGTTTTTTAAATGACAGAGAAATGTCGATCTGTGACCCCAGATGAACTACCTAGCACTCCCTGAAGATAATTTCTAATCCTCTTTGACCTAGCAGTTTGCTTAACTGGGCCACCCCATGGTTTCTTTTTTCAAAACCTTACCTTGATGAAGGCGTAGCCGACGCCGTTATCTGTGATGGTGAGTCCAAGAGAGTCCTCTGACTTATAGACGTTTACTTCCTTCCTTATTCCTTTCACATGAGCAAATATGAAATCCTCGAGACCCAACTGCCCGCCTAGGAGCTTTTCCATGTCGATTCTGGGTGTGTTTAAAGTACAAAATAAGATCTGCAAAGAGAAGAGACCTTTCAGGTCAGTCTGGTCTTTAGTGAACTTATTCAAAAATGGTCCTCGATATGCAAAGTAAAGGTCTCTGTAATAACGTGAGTGAGTAAGTTGGGTAGGTGGGTAGGATTTGAGGCAACATTTCCCTATGTTAACATTAGACAACATATACTGAATATTCTGAAGACCCTAGCCTAAGTCATTTATGTCCACTCTCTCATTTAACCATCACAACGAGTGTATACAGAACATTGCTATCCCTTAACACAGACAGGAAATGGAGACTTAGTAAGATAATTTGCTTAAAAATCACAAAGTCATCACTTGTCAAAGCCAAGGATCTGACTTCAGTTCTCATCAGCCTCAAAGTGGTTTAAATTAGGTGTCCTACTGGTTCTAATGCCAGAGGTCTTGAAATGCACGAGCATTATAGTGGGGCACAGACAAAAGGAGAGTGTGTGTAAAAACCAACAAACCACATTTTTAAATGAGAGGCATTTTATTTCTTTTGCATCATAGTGCTTGCCTCAAATGCAGACAGAGATCTGCCTGCTCCTGCTTCCCGAGTATTGGAATTAAAAACAGGGGCCACCTCTTCATGGCCCTCTACAGACAAGTACAGGTTTCTTTACAAAAAGAAATTGCGTCGTTCAGCTACGTTTGCTTTGCTCCTATGCTCATTTGTAAAACACCAAGGTTATTACTTGTTACTAACGGGCTCAATGCCCAGCATAGTAAAGGGGGTACAATTTAAATAGTAGATGAAATGTTTTAGGAATAGAGCCAGGCGTTGGTGGTGTGCCTTTAATCCCAGCAGAGGCAGGGATCTTAGTGAGTTCGAGGCCAGCCTGGGCTGCATAGTGAAACCCTGAGGGTTGGATGGTAAATGCTGAAGTTTAGGATACATCCAGAGTTCTTACAAAAATCAGTAAGGGATTATGCATAAGAAGTAACTTCACAAACCAACAAGTTCTAAGGGCCCTGCACTACTGTTCCCGTAAGGCAGACACGTTCTGAATAACATTTGCAGCTACACATGACAGCTTCTTAAAATGCAGGGTCTGGGTGGAAGAACTAGGCATCACTTGCTTCTAAAGGTCAGAACCTGGATAAATTTCATTTCCCCCATAAACCGCATGTGATGGCTATTACTGGTTGTCAACTTGACTGCATAGGGAATAAGTAAAAGTCCAAGCTGCCAGGCACACCTTTGAAGGCCTTTTAGTCAACTGGATCCACCTCAGGTAGGAAAATCCACCGTAAATCCACAGCCCTTGAAGTTAGAATCTGGGCCACGCCTTCTCGTGGCGACCTACGCAAAGGACAAGGAAGAAGGAAGCTTGTGCTCTTTGACTGTTGACCCTCGCTCTCACTTCACCAACATTAGAGCCCACGTCCTTGGGATTCCAAGCTGAAATATATTCTATCAGTTCTGTTCTTCTAGGTAACCCTAATACACCAATTATTCAATTTTTTAAACTGAAAGATAATCCGTGAACAGTATTCTTACTGTATATTTTTAAACTTCTAATTGCTACTTTCCCAGTATTTTAAAATTCCTAACACACTTGTTATTATTGATCATTGAAACCCACCTGGCTAGAACAGAGAAAGCCTGAACATAGAACGAGCAGATATAAACTAATGCACCATTTCCTTCCTATGGTGGCACCATTACACAGTCTGCAAAGACGGCTTATGGATGGCACAGAATAAATATTTGTCACTACTACTTCAGAAGGTATCTAGTCCATGGTCAGATGAACAAATCTCCAAAAACACATCGACATTATTTTTAAAACTCCAGGAAGTTCATTTCTAGCTCTCTTTTGTTCGATGCTTTCCTTAAACAGGAACTATGCTGGCCAAAGATTCTACATGTTCCAACAAGAAACGGAAAAAAAAAAAAAAGTTATGGTTTGTAGACCTAAAAGAGCATGGTTTGTGGATGTGTGTTTTTGGAAATAGATTCTTCTCTCATAAACACATCCTGATCACAGTCTCACCTTTGTTCACCTCCTCCCATCCCCCCTCCCTTCAGAAAAGAACAGGCCTCCAAGAGACAACCAGACACTACAAAACAAGATACAATAAGACAAGGTAAAATCCCTCACAATGAGGCTGGACAAGGCAACCCGACAGGAAGAAAAGTTCCAAGAGCAGGCCAAAGAGTCAGAGACTATTGTGGGTGTGGTTTTAAACGTAAGCAAATGAAACACTTATCTCCTGTGACTACCTACAATAGCAATACCCAAACCTTTCATATAAATGTCTTACTGCATCTCCATCTCCCCAATAACCTTACCTTCTTTGTATCCTTTACCTCAAGTGACATTGTAGAAATGTCAATGTCATTGTAGAAAGTGAAAAGGGGAAGTGGGTAGGTCTAGTAACCCTCCCTACTCTTACCTGGATGTTTTCACTCCACCATTACACGTAAGAAAACATTTGGAGTCTGTTCCTTCAGTTCGTGACTAGGTTTGACCTGGTCTACTCTCTCTCTCTCTCTCTCTCTCTCTCTCTCTCTCTCTCTCTCTCTCTCTCTCTCTCTCTCTCTCAGATTTATTTTTAATTATGCATATGCAGATGTGTCTGTGTGTACACATTTGAGTGCTGGTATCCAAAGAAATTAGAGATGTCTGGTCCCCCGAGAGTTAGAGAGCTACAAGTGATTGTGAGCCACATGATGTGGGTGCTGGGATCTGAACTCTGGTCTTCTGAAAGAGCATCAAGTGCTCTTAACCGCTGGACCATCTCTCCGGCCCTGGGCTGTTGGTATTGTCTAAGTTTCAAAGGTTGGTCTATATAGTGAATTCTAGGCCAGCCAAGACAATCTAATGACCCTATCTCAAAAGAGCAACAAAAAAGCCTTCCAAAAAGTTCAGTGTTTTCTGCCACATGTCTCCCCACACCTTAGTCACTGTTCTATAGATGTGAACAGACACCATGACTAAGGCAACTCTTATTAAAGAAAGCACTAAATTGGGGTTTGCTTACAGTTCCAGAGGCTTAGTACATCACCATCTTGGCTGGGACCATGGCAGCATGCAGGCAAGCTGTTGGAACAGTAGCTGAGAGCTACATCTTGATCCAAAAGCAGAGAGAGACTGGGCTTGTCATGTGCTTCTGAAACTTAAAACCCACTACTACTGACAGACTTCCTCCAAAAAGGCCACACCTCCTAATCCTTTTGATCCTTTCAAACAGTTCTACAACTGACAGGTGTGTTTGTTGGTTGGTGGGTTTTAGTTCAGGGTCCCAAGCATGCTAAGAACATGCCTCAAGGGCAGTTAAGTGGCTCAGGGGGTGAAGGTGCTTTCCATGCAAGCCTAACAACAGGACTTCAATCTCCAGAACCTACATAAAAAGCCAGATGCAATTCCTTGCATCTACAATCTCAGTATTCCTACACGGAGATGTGAGGCAAACAGAACCAGCCAGAAGCTACATACCCAGCACTTAGGCAGAAACAAGAGAGGCCCTGCCTCAAAGCAAGACAAAATAAGAGAATCAACTGTTGAACACAGGTGTCCTCTGGCTTCCACACACATGCTGCCTCCTAAAGTAATCTTTCAGAACATGCTGCCACCGAACTGTATCACCAACCTTGGTGTTCCATTTATTTTCCCCAGCTTAGAAAATAACGGCTCCGAGAGGAAAAGGAAGTCTTGCCTATGACCCAGCTGAGACGAACTGACTGCGATCTCTTTATCCTCCAACGCTTCTCCGAGAGCTAACATCTGCACAGGTCCAAATGCATTAGCAGTCAGATATGAAGGCAAGCATCCTGTGCTCTCAAGAGATAAGGACTTCAGCTCAGACCCAAAATCCTGTTCATTTGTCCAAGGTCAGAGTCATAACAAGAATTCAGACTTCAGCGTGTCTTTTCTGACTCATTGTACGTTATCTGTGGTATTAATAACATCCCTTCAGTTCTCAACGAAAAGCGTTTACATATCAGACTATGCACTGTACGCTGTGTGGAACTAAATAGTTTGTGTAGTAAATTATTCACTTCCAAAAAAGGAGAATGACAGCTTCCAAAAGGAATTACTTCTACATGGCTCTAAAAGTCACATACACTAGGCATTTTAACAAATACCAAAATACCACCAAAGCATGGTTACTCAATTTGAATTACAAGAATTGAGCTTTTTTTAAATGTTGCTTCTGGTAAATTTAAACTATTTACATTCGTTTCCTCATATTATAAACAGCCATTCCAAAATCTCATGTCTAGTATTTTCTCAATGTAAATCTCCAGTATTGTTTTAAATAATGCATCACTCTATATAAAAGGCCTTAATACCCGTAGTCACTAGAAACAGCTTCACGGCTTAGAAAAGATAAAAAAAAAAAAAAAAAAAAAAAAAATGGCAACAAGACAGACATTTAGAAATATGATACTGTATGCTTTATTTAGACCTGCGTGAGGATATTGTAGAATGCCCTGCCTCGAAGTGGCTAGAACTTTCTATAAATGATTCACTTCTAAATTAGCCTCCCTAGGTCAGCAGTGTCAAGCCGTAAGTGAAAAATGAATCACTCTCCGGTGATCCTTCCCCGGCCCAACACAAGTACCTTCCCCAGTGTTTCTAGTGACTAAAATAGTATGACAAAAGAGTCCTCTCCAAAAAATGAAAGTCAAATCCGTATTTTTAAACCACCAAATGACTTCCCAGAATAGTCAAAGGAACATATTTCTCTGCTATGAAGTCTAATCAAGGGAGCTATGTATCTAAGAATAGCAAAATCACTAGGCACAAGCAAAGGCTAAAGGGGCTGGGTTTTAATCTTGCCTGTGTGAACACAACCCAGACACTAACCCAACAAGTGAGACATCGCCCTCTCCCGCATTATCCCTGCAAGGAGAGGAGATAACTGAGCTTATTCCACCCGAGGAATGTAAGGTATTTGCCAATTTTAACACACCCTAAATCAAGTGATACTTCAATGTTTCCAGGCTTCCCAATCAACGTCTCCTGGATACAAAAGGTGAAGAA